ACATAAGTTTCATTCACAAAATTTTATATATAACCGTTTAAACATTTGCTTGACGAACAGAAAATTCTTAAGTTGCAATTATTTTTATAGAAAATTTCAGGTTTTTCAACGATAATGGCTAGAGCTAGTTTTTTATTTAACATTATTGTAACGCGCCTAGAGCTGAGTAAGCATGAAATCGATGAGCCACAAAATCTATTGGTGAATGTGGACTTTAACAAGACTCAGATTAAAGTCACATCGAGCCGCATCAACGTGGACCAGTTCGATGTATTGAAAGGCATCAATTGCCAAACAGATCCAGCAGTATTACGTGACTATCTGGAAGCAAACGGTCTGACCATAATCGTGCGCTACAACGGTGTGGTCCTTGGAAAAGGATGCGTCCCCTTCCTCGAAAGTTTCATTAACCAGATTGACTATGAGATGGACTATTTGACCTATGCAGGCACATGCAACCTCTTTGGGCAGCACAGCCTGGTGGGCTCTATCGATGTGATGTGTTTGCTGACCATCAAATGCGAGAGTCAAGATGATTTCGTAGGGTGAGTGGACACATCTCTATATCGATAGACAGGTATTCCAGTACTGATGCCATATTGACCTTCCTAGACCATGCAAAGACGCCTGCGGGAACATTGCCAGGAAGGACATCATGATATTGATGCGCAATCGAGATGCCGACGCAGTAGCAGACAAATCATATATGACGGAGCCGGAAGAGCAGGAAAACGACACACAATTAGGGCTGGATCTCAGCCGATATCGCAGCATTAATCAGCGTATGAGCCAGTCATCTGAGGACTCAAGCGGAACAGAGGCGTGCTGCCTGCTTAGGGCCATGGCCACGGAGTACGCACAAATCATCGACTCGGTTCTAGAGAAAATTACAGAGTTATCTTCGTCGTCGCCAGATATAAGTTGTCAAGACGTAGATGACGAGGATCTACAATATATTAATTCCGAACTCACGGATTGCCTTATACCATCTACCGGTGCTGATGCGGGCGAGTCGGATATTAAGCCAATACGCTACTGTCCCATTTGCTGTAACTCTGTGTCGTGGATGCCCAAATACGCTCACTGTCCGCGTTGCTGGACCAAGCCCGTGCCACTGGTCGAGATCGAGCCGGAGGGATTGCCCACAGCTGACCAAATCATAAAGTCCTATGTCGAGGAGCCTGAGGAAGCTGCCATGAAGAAGCTGTCTGCCATGACAGCAGAAGAGCCTGCCGAGGCAGTCTGTAAGCCTCCAGAGAAGAAAGCGACAAACAGGCACCGTGACCGTTGCCGCTGCAAGAGACGCAAGATCTGCTCCCACTGTCGCGTTCGCAAAATGTGCGCGGAGCTAATCTCATCAACAGACCAGACAGCTCCGCCAAAGACAGATGAAGAAGACGTGCAGTCCATCAATAATCGTCCGCAACTGAGAAATGTATTAATGGAGCTCAATTATCTCTACCATCAAAGGGACAACAAAGTGCAAAAGTCTCGCACGAAGTCCCAACTCTGTGGGGGCCAAAACACCAAATCATTGTAATATATCGTATTTTGTGCAAATATATGTATCTTAATTTATATCAATAGAATTGAAGCGGTTTTTTTTTTAGCTTTTAACTTTGATAACTTAGCGAATAATTGATAATGCTTTGAAAAAATTTATGGAAATAAAAAATTCAATATAAATAATAAAACAATTTCAAAATATATTTAACAGTTGTCTTCGGATATAAATGCACCAGCTCCTAAAATGAAGTCATACAAATATAATTGAGTATTTTTCACCAAAAGGTTGACGGTAAATGTATTATCATAGTTAATTGAAAAAGTTCATCGTTCAGAGTGGCAAAGCTTCACTCGCTCATGAGCAGAGCACAGACTCATGCTGAACGCCAAATTAATGCGAAAAATTTAATTAAAATTGAACTTAATTTAGATAAGTGCATGAGGTGAAATAATATCACACACTTCGAGCACGAGAGCAACAAAAATATATGTGGAGCGCGTGGTGGCGGCACATTGCGTGCTAAGCGGCTTACAGGCAAATCAAAGGCAGCTGAAGCGATAAATGTGTGGCGCTAAAGCAGGTTTGTGG